AGGTACAGGGGCGTGGCACCGTTCTTGGTTTGGGCGTTCACCCCCCTGCGGAGACGCAGGCCCGCCGTGGGCTCCCGCGCCTGACTCCTCCCAAGCCTCCTCATGCCCCGCCCCTGCCGGGAGGCCTGGAGGGGCTAGACCCCACCTGCCCCTGCCCGATTCCCTTTGGTCTCGGCCCTGCGACTCCTCCCTCGGAGGCCCCCCTGACTTGTCCCCCGACCCTCCCAGAGGCCTCCTTTCCATAAGGTCTGACAGCGCTTCCCGGCCCTCAGTAAATAATCCCGCCTTTCTACAAGGACGCGGTGACCTGGCCTTTCCCTACCTTCTGGGCCACTCTCACTCACTGTCACCGTGAGGCCCCAAACTTGCTGTGTCTGACCTCTCTGCCTTCGATCATGCCTCCCTTCCGTTTGGAATGCCCTCCCCCCCCCAACCCTTAAGACTTGGCGCCTGTTCCTCTTCCATGAGGCCAGCCCTGATTTCTCCCCACAGACCAGGCCTCTCCGGCCTCTACCCCACACTGCCCTAGTCACTCCATGGATGGCCTGTCATACTTAAGTGACCATAACAGATTTTGGGTTTTGCCTCCCCTAGAAGACTGAGTTCACAGAGGAGAAGGTGGTAGGGTTGCCAGACAAAATACAGGACGCCCAGTTAAATCTGAATTTCAACAACTATTGCATGGGACACAATTGTACTAAAACACCATTGTTTCTCTGACATTCAAAGCTCGTTGGACATCCTGAGCTCTGCTGTTGGGCTGGCAGCCCTCGGGCGTGGCTCCCAAGTACTGAGCACTTCCCGTGTGCTCACTCCAGGCCATGGTACTCGGGGGCAGGTTATTCTTCAGTCCTGCGGTCACTCCCATTTTGCAGAACGGCAGGTGAGGCTAAAGCTGTGTCCTGCCATAGGTCACACAGCTGTTAAGAGGCATCTGAACACACATCCGCCCGTGTGGTGCAGGGAGTGAAGAGGTGGACAGTGCCCAGGGGCTTCTCCTAGGGCCTAGCTGCTTTTGGCTGTCGCCACCCTCAGCCCTGCTCCCCCAGTCCAGTGGGGGCCTCACTGGGGAACAGGGAGCCAGCCCCATGGGGTAGAGTGCCCTTGGGGAATAGGGAAACTGACCTGGCCACTGGGCTCAGAGTGTGGACAGCCCAGGCCACAGTTACCACAGCGGGGCACTAGGTGGCGCCGCAGTCTACCCCCAGACCCAGGAGAAGCTCCCAGTGGGGGCTGCGTCCATTGAGCTCCGGATCCGCCCTCTGTGCCCCAGGAAGTGCAATTCTTACTCTTGACTTCACATCCTCGCCCCACATCCACCCCCCCCATGTCAACCGCATGCGCCACCTCCCCCACCCATCACTCACTCACCCAGTTCCGTGGTCTGTCCATCAACGCGCACCAGGCCACCCCCCGCACCTGCCCATTCACCCAGCTTCTTGTCCCAGACACGACTTAGCCCCTCCTCTGACGTTGCCCAGGACCCTCCAGCTGGTGTCCCCTCGTCCCTAAAGCTCTGGTTCTCCGTCCACTTCCCTGAGCCCCCAAGGCCATCTGCAGTCCCACTCAGCCCCACTTCCTGGTCTCTCCTCCCTCCTTCCTCCCCAGAGAGGCAGGTACTGATGCCGAGTCTGGCGCTTCACGTGTGTGGAGGGCAGCGGGCACCGTGCCTGGCTGTCTTTCATTGCCCTACCCGGGTCAAGAGCAGAGGGGCTCCTGCCGACACAGTACCAAGGATCAGAGGACCCAACCACACGCCTCTCCTCAGAAACTCACTGGCTCGGGGCCACCACCCTCCACGCCCCAGTGCCAGCGTCGCCCCCACACACACTCACATGCTGGTGTGTCAGGAACAGGCTGTTTAATATTTCATGACCGACACTCAGCGGCCTGAATTATTCACCCTGTAACCAAGGCACAGGGAGTGCTGGGGTCCTGGGAGTGGTGGCTGGAGGGGTGATCTCGGTTCTCTACAGGGGCCCGTGGCAGTGTGACAGCTAGGGGGTCCAGACCAGCGGTGAGCCCAGTCCCCCAGGACGCCCTCCCCCGCCACCTGCAGGTATCCATGACCCAGAATGGCCCAGCCAGCTGAAGAAGGTCTGAGAAGTTGGCACCATGCAGGATCTGAGCAGCAGGGGGCAGTAGCGCCCATGGCCTCCCGCCGGGCTGCTGGCAGGCACTCCCAGCCAGAGTCCCTGGAGCAGTGAGCACTCAGCAAATGCTCAAGCTTGTCACCACTATTACTGGCATTTCCGCCTCTGCACTCAGGACCCCCTTCCTGGAGTCAGGGCCTCCAGCCCAGAAGACCTCAGGACACGGGCAGATGTGCTGCTGGGCTGGGGGGGAGGGTGTCTCTGCCTTGTCCGTCCTTCTACCTTGGCCTGGAGGCAAGCAGAAAGACAGAGGGGCACCCTCCCTCCCTGGGGAAAGTTACAAAAACACAATAAGCAGGAGGAACAAAATAAAACTCCCATCTCTGAGAAGATGAGTGAATATACACGAGTAAGCAGAAATAGTAAGAACTGAGAACGGCGCTAGCAACAACGATTTATCAAATGACCATGCTGTCCCAAGCACTGTGATGAGCACGAGACGCCTGTTCCCTCTAGTCCTCCTAGTGACCTTCCGGGGCAGGTGTTGGCATTCTTCTCCGTGCAGAGAGAAGGAAACTGAGGCACAAAGACCTCAGATCACTCCACAAGGAAGAGGCAGAGCCACGATTTGAACCTGAGTCCCTTTCACAGCAGAGCCTGCTTCTGACTCAAAGTGTCACGTCTACACCCCTCCTACGTTGGGTCTGACTGCCGGCTTCCCTCCCTCCCACTGCACAGACCGACCACTGCCCTTCCCTGCAGAACTCACGACTGGGAAGACGGCGGCTCCACAATAAGGAGGACCTGAGAGTGGGTCCCATGGTCCCCAGTTCACGCCTTGCTTTTGCCTTCCCAAGCCCCTTCATGAATCAGGGGCGATCATTGTGGTCCTGGCCTGAGACATGCCGGGGGAGCACCTGAGACATGTTGGGGGAGCACCTGAGACATGTTGGGGGAGCACCTAATACATGTCAGAGCAGCACCTAGACATGCTGGGGGAGCATCTGAAACATGCTGGGGAGCCCTGAGCACAGGCCTGAGGTGGGGCCTGTTGTAGTTTAGGGTCCTTCTTCCCCGTGCCTGGGAGGACCAGCCACTGGGGGCCCCACTGCTGGCCTGGGGTGTCCAGGCCCCGCCGAGCATCATTGCTGCTGTAGGGAGACACTGCCTAGAGGGGAGAGGAGGGACCTGGGGGAGACCTCTAACTCCAGAGCCCTGTCAGCTGCAGACCACCAAGTTCCGGCCTCATCACAGCAACAGTCATAGGAAAATGTCCCCAGACCAAACCGCTACCCCATCACAGCAACAGTCATAGGAAAATGTCCCCAGACCAAACCGCTACCCCATCTCAGCCTCTGCTCCCCACCCTCACCCTATAACTCACTTTGTAGGGTGAGTTCTTTACCCTCCTGAGTCCCAGTGTCCTCATACAGCAAATGTGCATCCTAGTCACCCAGCCCCTCCGAAGTCCCTTGTGAGGGAACGGGAGAGTGCGCCTTGGAAGGCTAACGTGTCTTCCGAGGAAAGGGATGTCCAGCTTCCTCGAGCTGCTACCCCATCCGGACCCGCTATCCCCGGCCCCACTGGGTCTAGCACTGTCACCATCACGTCAACAGCCCCTCTGTCTTCATCTGACTTGACCACCCCAGCAGGTGCCCTCGCCCCTCTCCTAAGGCCAGCTTCTGTGGCTTCATGGACGTGCACATGCTGACATCCACCTCTGCCCTGGCCAGTCCTCTGCAGCCTCCCCTGCTGGGCCTTCACCGCCACTTGGCCTCCACATGTGAGACCCAGGGTCTCCTCCTCTTTTCTAGGGGACTCTTCCCCTGTGGGGTTGTCTGCTTCCTAGGATCTAAGGCCGACTACCTACCCGAGGCTGCCCATCTCTCCATCCTGGACCTGAGCTC